ATATGAAAATAGGAGAGTACAAGAACCCTTGAGTAGTACAAGAGAACTCTCACTATAAGAACTCACAAAAGATTATGTGTATGGTATGTCTTCTTGTGTGTGTGTTGCATGCCCATGACTCATATTTATAGTTGTAGATGGAGCTTGGAAGATATGAACGGAAGATTCCAGAAATTCCTCCAACATTTTTGTAGCCTTAATATTCTAGAACATTCACGAACCATTTATTCTAGTTGCTTCTAATGTCAAGAATTCTCTAGAACATTTTAGTGGCTTGCATGATACAAGCTAGTAGAAAAATCTAGAGAAATGAGGAGCAATACCAATCATGCTACATGTATCCGGAAACTTTTAGAACATGAACAAATACTCCATCGAAATAATGGGGTTAAACATTTGGACCACATCCAACACTACTCAAATAGAAACACACATGTTTATTCCTAAAAATAAAACACAAAGTCCTTTGGTTCACTAAGCTGGAATGGATTGGTATGGATTCTATATTCCATACCAATCTAAAGTTGTTTGGTTTAATCATGGAATGGATTCTCATACTTGAGTAATAGTATGGATAATGAATCATTAGGGGGGAGGTGGGTATGAGATTCCAATGGAATGGGGTGGAGTTAAAATCCCCCAAATATGAGATTCCATACTCAAATAGCCCAACTAAACAAATAAAATCATAAAATGGATTCTAAATCCATTCCAAGAAAGTTCAACCAAACAGCCTCAAAATATTAAACTAAACCCCCAGGTATAGCATACAGAGAGTTAAGTAAATAAATATCCAATTTTGTTTGCACCATGACCCAGTTATTTTATAAGAGCTTAAATACAAGGGACATAAGGAGTATTAAAGCAGGTTAAAATGAGTCTTCCTCGTCAGTATAAGAAGCCAGCCAGTCGTCCTCGTCCTCATCATAGGAACCCCAGTGGTAAGTTGGGGAGTCACCAGAACCGATCGAATCATCATTGGTGGGCGAATCACAAGAAATGAGCCACGGTATGGGCTGATGACTGTGTAGATCGAACCAAAATGAAGCCTTGATTAGTCTTCCTATACCTACTAGGATTTCCCGTCCATCCTTTGACACACTTTTTGGTATTTGTTCGTGTGACAAGTGAACCAATTTAGTCCATGATTCTTTCACACGATACACTCCCATGATCCATATGTCTATCTCATACGGCTTTTCAATATAAGATACTAAATGAAGACATCCCCTTATATCGACTAGATCCCACATTGACTAGGCAAGGGTAACTCAAAGAGCATTTCATTTTCAAGGCCAATACCTATTATTGGAGCATATTCTTTGTTAAATAGAGGTACCAAATGGAACCCATTATTAGAGAAAACTAATGTTTTCTTAATATTTTTATGATAGTCAAACGGATAGAGTTTAATATATTTCCATGAACTAGACTTGAAGCTAAAGATGGCATAATAATAACAACCATGGCGTTCATTATGGAATAAACGTAAGATTTTATAATTATGGCTCATGCACTCATAACCAAATCCAAAAACATCATTCTCATCAAAGTAATGGCGTATCACTCTAATATCGTCGCTACTTTGAGGGTTGTAAACCAAAATTTAGGATGCAAAGCAAGCCGTTGCAACAACCAACGGGTTTGAATTTGTGTTTTGGGTTTGGGTCGTGATGATTCGAGTGACCTAGCCTTTTCACCTCCTCTAACTCTAATTCTATAACCAAGACATCAAAGGGATGTTCACTAAAGAGGATGACTTGGGTACTAAAATTGGCCTTATTATTCATAATTTTAAGCGAGTGTAATTTTGTAAAATTTGGGTTCTTAATTAGATTAGGCAAAAACTTGCAAACACATTGGCAACGGACAAGAGGTTTGATAGGTAGCCGTAGGAGGATGTTACACTGCAGGTCAAACGGAAGCTCAGCTTGTCGGTTTTTTGTAAAAGAAGAATCGTTTATATCATCTGAATTACTTACTTGCTCAATTTCACCCAACTTTATACCTCCTTTTTGGGACAAAGGAGCTGCTATCGGCTCCTCCCTTGTATCTTCAACAATAGCCACAGTCATATTATTCTTTGACTTCTTCATAATTGTTCACCTGAATTTTTTTGAATTATTTATGTATGAAATTCTTCATAATATAACCTAAACAATGCTATGCACAAAAGTCTACCACATGTAAAGTTTCTTAATCCTGAACAAAATCAAATTAACACGTATTGATCTTATGCAAACTAATCAAATCTCAGACCCGTTTCTGTACAAAATTCTACCACACGTAAACTTTCCTAATCCTACACAATACCAAATTAACACGAATCTATCTTATGCCAACTAATCAAATCTCAGTCCCATTTCTAAGGATTTTGTGGCCTAAGGGACATACCAAAAAATTAGGTCCAAAGTTATTTACATATCACCTTTTACTTACCAAAGATAAAGTACGTATTTGTTTTTTCTTAGAAAGCAAAGATCAAGTATTAATACGATTAAATCTACTCCGTATCCAATAGCCTAATTCTTTGTCAAAAGATACTACGAATCAGCCTCAATACTTGATTACACTGATTATATACACTCAAAAAAGAATTAAAAAACATAATTAGTTGTCAATTAAACATTAGTTGTTATCATTTACAAGCACTTATGAATTACTCCTTAATGTACTAAATAAAAATTTCTCAAATTATACTCCTTGATTGATGTAATTAGGGTGATTACTTTGACCTTTAATTACTGTTTAAGTGACTGATCTATCTCTTGGCTGTGAAATCTTACCTGATTACTTTGACCCTTAATTACTAGTATGTAATACAAACTAATGTTATATATAAGGCCTCCTATTCGTACAATGCAAACTAACTCATCGCTTAAAAACCATTAACAAATTAATCACTCAAACTAAGTTTATTTTAATAAGTCAATGTTTTAATAGTGGTCTTTATGGAAACGCTATAATATTTTTTTATTTTTTTTATACGGTAGGATACAAGGTTTCCCACCCTATCACCGTAACCCTAGAACCGACCTTATGGAAATATTCCGGGATTAGGAAACATGTTAATCAACCGTCATAGTACTTTTAAGTAATATAATTATTTTGTGACAATTTCTATCTCAATTTAATTATATAATTATTAATTTCAATTTTATTTCGTTGATCTTATTACTAACGTTGTTTTTTATATATAATTGAACTCTCTATGCATGTTTGGATTGCTTCCAATATTCTACTGTCATGTTATGTTGTTTGAAATGACCTTTGCATGCTTAAAAAAGGAACGTGTACTTGAAAATCACAATTAATAAGATAATTCGGATAATCGGATATAGGTACCTTTAATCTTATTTTTAATCAATTGATCACAATATTTAACAATTATACTTGTGCATTAAATATTTAACCAATTTAGCCTAATATTAGTTTGGAATAAATTGAATCTTGTTTGTATGTTGGTTGAATACAAAATTATTGATCGATGCCGCAAATCTAGAGGCCAATATGGGCAGAGCGATCTCTTTATATTTCAAAGCTAATGCAACCCACAAATCCGTTGCAATAAATTCCAAATTCCGTCACAATAAACCTAATGCAACAACGTCGTATCGGCTGGTATTGCATTAGCCCTAACGCAACGGCAAAAAGACCTAATACAACGGTCACTTTATACTTGTGCATTAGCTGCATCTAATATAGCGACACCCTTATTGTCATCATATCATATCACTAATAATAAATAAAGTCGGGTCTCGCAGCCAGACCACGAGACAACGACACTTGTCACTCCAAATTTTCGCCAAGCATCGCGCCATATAAGCAACAACTATGCATAAACATGTCACGTACTCACGTTAGATGTCAGGTAAGCGATATCAGATATATTTTTTAGGATAAAAAATTTATTTTAGAGTTTTGTTTTCAATAATTTTTAGTCCTTTACATCGTAAATAATTTATTATTTTTTAAGCAAATTTAATAAAATTCGTTTTAAAATATGCTTTAAATGAGATCTATTCAAGATAAATTTTAACCAATTATGAGTACTTTATTTCAACTGAAAAAATATAGAAAAAAAACTATAAGAAAATTATTTTTCTAAATTTCTAACCTTAACATTTTTTTTTCACCTTCCAAATAAGCATAGGGTCACATTCAATGAAAACCAAGGTGTTTCGGGAATTTTGGGATACCCAAAAGGGGGTATGGTTTTCCTCGGGAGACAGATCCAAAATGCAGCACCCGTGCGGCCTGGACACCTGCAAAACAACGAATTTCCAATTTACCAGAGATCTGCCTCTGACGATCAAGTTCGTGACCGGCAACAGAATTTTAGAGGGAGAAAGTAGAGAGATGTGAGAGCAATTTTTGGGCATGGTGGCTTTGGTAATTGTGAATTCTTTTTTCCCATCATTGAATCAAAAAAAAAATTATAGGGTATTTATTGGGATGTTGGAGATCATGCTCCTAATTAGTTTTATAATCTAGGAAGGTCGGTTGCCCTATACATGATAGACACGTGTATTAGGGTATGCTTTATGGTTGGTTTTCTTCCTTTAATATGCTTTGAACCCTTCATTATCTAATGTCTCTCTTAGGCCACGTACATGTCATGTTCATATTGTCTTTTTATAGCTGAGAGAGAGAAAGATAAGATCTAAAATATAAACAATGCATTTTGTGTGCGGCTGGCCACACCATGTGGCCGCTTGTAAAAGAACAAAGTAATTCCAATAACATTGACGAAGTAATCACCCTCGTGATACTGACCAAGTAACCTCTATAACACTAATTGAATAACCTTATCACACTAATGAAGTAACCCATGTAAAACAAACCTCGTAACCCCTATAACACCAATGAAGTAACCATGATGGTTGGCCACACGATGTGGCCATATATTATGTAAATTCTATTTAATTTTCTATATATTAAAAATTAAATTAAGAAAATGAATAGTTAATAGAATAATGTGAATCAATAATATTAAATGTTACATGAAATGAGACACAATGCCCTTTTTTATATTGTCACAACTCACAATCATGAAAAAATTATAATAATTTATTTTATTTTTTTTAAAAAAAAAAACATTGAAGAAACAAAATAGTTTAAGACACTAAATAGAAATTAATATTGAGATTAGACGTGCCAACCCACTTTGTTTCCTCAACGTCTTCTCTATTATAGTGTTGTAAAATAACAGAATACACCGTAAGACCACCTCCAAACCCTCTGTTCTTTCTCTCTCTCTTCCACCAAAAATGTCATCACACAATAATAACCAACAACACCATTACATGACCCCTTCAACACCCCGCGAGAGACGATCATCGTTGACGTTATCATCGTCGTCGAAAAAGATGAAATCCTTCGCAATGCCACCATCTCCGATACCGAATGCAAAAGGGTCTCGATCAGCAGCAATAGATGATCGTAAGCTAACTGATTACTTTACAAACAACCTACAAATACCGTACTTACGTCTACCTGATCCTTACAACTTGTCTCACACGACCCAGGTTCGAATCCCGGCTCAGATAGACTACAGGCTATTAGTCTCGAGGGTTGGGAACTCTATCGAGAGGCTGGTTCGGTCGGCGAGGGAGTTTGGGGTGGTTCGGATCGTTGGGCATGGGATCGAGAGGCAGGAGGTTCGGTTGGTTAAAGCCGAGGTCGAGCTGTTCTTCAAAAGTCTTGATGAGAGGAAGACTAAGTTTAGGAAGAGTTTCGTTGACAGGGTTGGTAATCGAGAGGAGTTTGTTTGGTTTCGTTCTGATAAGGCTATGTTACTTTGGGCTCGGGAGGTCATGGGGTCCGATCGATACCGCGATTTCAGGTAAAATTATGCGCACATGTTATATGATCTTTTACATGGAAGAATTTTGAATTCAATTTTTTTTTTTTCCTCCTATAAAATAAATACTACTCCGTTTCATAATGATCTTACAGGACATGTATAATCCGTGTTTAAATGAACGTAGTAGTCAAATGGTTAAATTGGTACTTTGGATAGAGGTGGCCAAATTTGATACCTTGCTAGGATTAAACTCACATTAATTATTCATGTTGTGTGTGTTACACTTTTCTTTAATATATTCTTCTATGATGTGGACATGCATGTATGGTACTAAGCTAGTGGCAACAATAGAGATTTATTCTTATATTACCTTCGGTTTTTTTAAAGTTCTTAACACTTTGACTGACTTGTTTGAGGTCATGTCGAGCTAATAAGATTACTACTAACTTGTTTGTAGGATTTGATTGACACTTTCGAATTTTAATTCCAATTAATTAATGCGTGATTTAATTTGCTAGCATAGCTTCTTATGATATAGGGGCGGGTATATCACAAGAAGCTATGCCATTTGTATGCTTCAACTTTTTTTTTTTTTTGGGGGGGTGGGTTAATGTGGGTTTTTGGAAGCGGATTTCAATAATCGCTTCCCATTTGGGGTAGCCCTATTACTTTTTTCTACTGGTGTTGATATACGTAGTATAAGCTTTTTTGGGTGACAATCAGGTATTCAGAGTTGTATTTGTAAGAAGCGATCAAAATAGTAAATTAAATGACAAAGATCCACACATGAACTTGTACATTTCTAGGCCTATTATTACTAACCCTTTCTCCAACCATGCCTCAGCCACGACTAAGTTGCTAAGTAAGCCTATGACAGTTGATCATGCAGTGTCCGCTAATAAACTTGTCTATGAATATACTACGTACAAATGTACTATACAATCATATTAGTGGCGGATTTTTCTTCCGAGTATAACAAGATAAGTGAAGTTTGTTTGTTACATTACTCCGTATCGAAGTTTATTTCCTGTTTTTATTGTGTAGTACATGTTGATAAGTTCATATTGTTGTGCGACAGCGGAAGCAAAGGTCGAAAACAAACAAGAAAACAATAAAGAAATTCAATGCAAACAATAAGAACAACACCAAGAATTTACGTGGTTCACTATCGATGTGATAGCTACGTCCACGGGCACCGAGATCGAATGATTTCACTATAAACTGCAAAGATTACAAAGATGATTCTTGTATTTCTCAAGAACGGCTTTCACTCTGTCTCTCTTAACCCTAATACTGATATTAGGGAGGTTTTATATTAATCCCTAATTAAAAGATACTTGGGCAAAAAGATAATAAAATAAGATAACCTAAAACCGCAAAATCCGCGTTCCGTATTTTTCCTTCTCCGCCCGGTCAGACCGGGCAAGGTCTGCCCGATCGGGCGCGAGAAGAAAACTCCATACGAATGCTTCAACGTATCCAACCCCCACCGCCCGGTCAGACCGGGCAAGGTCTGCCCGATCGGGCGAAGGCTCGCCCGGTCGGGCGAAGGCTCGCCCGGTCGGGCGCGAGAGCAGCTTCTTCAACGAATTTGCCAGGCACCTCTTCTTCTTCCGCCCGGTCAGACCGGGCAATGTCCGCCCGATCGGGCGGACAAAGCTACGAAGTACGAGTCACCTAATATACTTATCAACAATCTCCACCTTGACGAGAACTCGTAGTCAGCAAACAACCCCATCAAGACATAGTGAAAAAACATCTCAAGCCAAACCCGATGCAGGACTCATGCATAAGCCATACATCCCGATAAGTCTTCAACCAAGACCCATCACATACTCGTCTCCAAGTATAACAACTCATAATGCTCCACCTGCATCACAAGCCCCGGGCAAGCTCCACCTTAAGGCCAACACACCTACACCAGGAGCTCCCCAACTTCGCCCCTCAGGGCCTACTACATCACGTAGTAATCAATATTTAGCAAGTCTAAGCAATGTTTAAACTTGCTAAACGGAACAGGCTTAGTGAAGAAATCAGCCGGGTTGTCAGCAGTCCCAATCTTCTTCACCTTAATCCTCTTGTCAGTACGCAAGAAATGATACCTGACATCAATGTGCTTCGTCCGATCATGGTGTACTTGATCTTTAGCTAAGCAAATCGCACTTAGACTATCACAATACACTGTAGCAAAATCCTGTGCAATACCCAGTTCACCTACTAGGCCTTTGAGCCAAATAGACTCCTTAGCTGCAGAAGTTAAAGCCATATACTCAGCTTCAGTAGTTGACAACGTAACTGATGACTGCAATGTAGACTTCCAACTAACCACAGAACCACCCAAAGTGAACACATAACCAGTCACAGACCTCCTGGTATCCACATCAGCTGCATAATCAGAATCACTGTACCCAGTGACCAAGCATTCCTTACCATTCCCGTACACAAGACCAATATCAGCTGTCCCTCTCAGGTAGCGAAAAATCCTTTTCACCCCTTGCCAGTGTTCCCTCCCAGGTCGAGCCATAAACCTGCTTACAACACTAACAGCATGCGCAATATCCGGCCTAGTACAGACCATAGCATACATCAAACAACCAACCGCGTTTGCATATGGAACTCTAGACATATAAGACAACTCCTCCTCTGATTGAGGTGACATAGACAAAGACAACTTACAACTAACAGTAGTTGGCGTACTTATAGGCTTCGATTTTTCCATCCCAAAACGAGACAGAATCTTTTCAATGTAGCTTTTCTGAGTCAAGAAAAGCTTACCTCTAGCCCGATCCCTGTAGATCTCCATACCCAAAATCTTCCTAGCTGCACCCAAGTCTTTCATGTCAAACTCCGAGTTAAGCATCTCCTTTAATCTAGCAATATCAGATTTATTCTTTGTGGCAACCAACATGTCATCAACATATAACAAAAGATAAATCATGGAACCATTATCCAGCTTACTATGATACACACAGCAATCATATGAATTCCTGTCAAAACCTTGTGAAACCATAAAAGAATCAAACCTTTTGTACCACTGTCGGGGGGATTGCTTAAGTCCATACAATGACTTTAGCAATCTGCAGGCATAGTGTTCCTTTCCAGGAACTTCGAATCCTTCGGGCTGCTTCATCAGAATCTCCTCCTCCAAATCGCCATGAAGGAAAGCCGTTTTAACATCCAACTGCTCCAGCTCAAGATCAAAATGTGCTACAATTGACAATAACACACGGATAGAAGTATGTCGAACCACAGGTGAGAATATCTCAACAAAGTCAACCCCTTCTACCTGACTGAACCCCTTAGCAACTAGCCTAGCCTTAAAACGTATTTGCTCAGTTTCCGACAACCCTTCTTTCTTCTTGTAAATCCATTTACAACCCACAAGCTTCCTCCCTTCCGGTACCTTTACCAGTTCCCACACTCTGTTCTTGTAAAGAGACTGCATCTCTTCACCCATTGCGGCAAGCCATTGCGCAGACTCACTACAACTAATTGCTTGTTTATATGTGGCAGGTTCAAATGACTCTACATCATCAGCTACACTCAATGCATAACCTGTCATCGCATCAACACAGCAATTTCTTCCCTCCATCTCTTCAATCAATCTAACAGGCTTCTTGATAACTCGTTTAGGCATCTCAAGAATGGTGTCAGGTTGACTAGATGACCCCTGATTAGATTGCTCCACCTCATCCCCAGAGTTAGAATGAGTAGGAGTAATCTCAGGTTCAGGAGTACCCGGCACTGGAACATCAGCATCATCATCAATATATTGTACCCGAGGTAAATCAGCAATGGTAGACTGATGTACCTCAAGTACCCCATCTGTCTGTAATAAATTGTCTCCTTCCCTTCTCAAATCTGAAATCTCTGCATTTTTAATTGAATACATGGTGTTTTCATCGAAAGTAACATCCCTACTAAGAATGACCCGACCCTCCGAAGGTGAAAAAATTCTAAACCCCTTCACACCATCCCCGTACCCAACAAAACACCCCTTCTTGGCTCGTGGATCCAGCTTACCCTCAATAACATGATAATAAGCAACACAACCAAAAATCTTCAAATTCGAAAAATTAGGCAACTTACCACTCCAGATCTCAAACGGAATTTTGGAATCAATTCCAGAATGAGGACCCCTATTAATGACATAACAAGCTGTTAACACAGCTTCACTCCAGTACCTCCTCCCAAGCCCTGCATTAGAGAGCATGCATCGAACTCTCTCTAGCAGTGTCTGATTAACCCGTTCTGCTACACCGTTCTGCTGTGGTGTCTTCCTGACAGTATGATGCCGACCTATACCCTCATCTGCACAGAACTGATTAAACTCGTCTTTGCAAAACTCTAGCCCATTGTCCGTTCGTAGCTTCTTGATCTTCCTTCCTTGTCGATTTTCCACCAAAGCTTTCCATTGCTTGAAAACTTTGAAGGCCTCATCCTTTGACTTAAGCAACCTAAGCCATGTGTATCGGGACTTGTCGTCAACAAATGACACAAAATAGTGGTAACCTCCCATACCTTCAACTCTAGATGGACCCCAGCAATCTGAATGGATGTAATCGAGCACTGCATCAGTAATGTGAGCACCCTTGCTGAACTTTGACCTGTGTTTCTTTCCAAACACACAATGCTCACAAAATTCAAGGTTGGCAACCTTGACCCCGGATAGAAGACCCCTCTTGGACAATAGCTGCATCCCCTTCTCCCCCATATGACCAAGCCTCATGTGCCAAATCTTAGTCATCTCCTGGTGAGATACAGATGCGCAAACCGCAGAACTAGGCAGTGTAACACCCTCAAAAACATAGAGGGTGTTCCTTTTGATACCCTTAAGTACCAACTCAGAACCTCTGAAAATACACAACTCCCCATCTGAAAACACACCATTGTACCCCAAGTCATCCAGGGTACCCAATGAAATCAGATTCTTTCCTAAAGCAGGAACATGCCGTACATTAGTCAAAGTTAACCTCCGCCCATCAACAGTCCTCAACCTCATGGAACCAATACCTGTGACCTTACATGGAGCATTGTTACCGACTATAACCATACCCCCATTGCGAGGTTCATATGTATCAAACCAATCTCGACGTGGACACATATGGAACGAACACCCCGAATCTAGAACCCAGTTATCAGATAAATCATCAGACCTAGCAGAACTGACTAATGCTAAATCTTCCTCTGAATTATAGCTCTCATTCGGTTTCTCTTCAACTACAGCAGCCTGGGACTTGTTTTTCCTCACCGGACAATTATTCCTAAAGTGACCCGGTTCTTTACAGTAATAACATGTTTTAGTAGTAGTTTTACTAGATCCATCCTTGCCGTTTCCAGCACCCGACCCAGCATTGTTCCCCTTGTTAAACCCCTTATTCTTTTTAGACTTTCCGGACTTAACAAACAACCCACTACCATTATCCCCATTATCACTCGTAGCTTTCATTCTGAGTTCCCTAGTATGAAGTGCTGCCTTCACTTCTTCTAAGGTTATAGAATCCTTACCAACAACAAAAGACTCTACAAAATTCTCAAAGCTAGACGGTAGAGATACAAGTAAAATCAACGCAGCATCCTCATCATCAATTTTAACATCTAAATTACGTAAATCAAGCAAAATAGAGTTAAGTTTTTCTAGATGTTCCCGTAAGGAAGTACCTGACTGCATCCGGAGGCTAAACAACCGCTGTTTCAGTAATAATTTGTTGGTCAACGACTTAGTCATATACAATGACTCCAGCTTCAGCCACAATCCAGCCGCCGTTTCCTGATCAGCCACCTCCGTGATGATTTGATCATCAAGACTAAGTAATATGGTAGAGTGTGCCTTCTCTTCCATAACTTCTAACTGCGAGTCAGTCGGTCCGTCTCCTGACTCCGAAGTAGTACTCTTTGGAGCCAACGGACGCCATATCTGCTGTTGTTTTAACAGAGCCTTCATCTTAATTTGCCATAGCCCGAAACTATTTTTCCCGGTAAACTTCTCAATTCTTATTGTTGAATCTCCTGCCATTGTTATCTTCAAGAAACTCTCCAAGGATTGAACCTGAGCTCTTGATACCAATTGTTGTGCGACAGCGGAAGCAAAGGTCGAAAACAAACAAGAAAACAATAAAGAAATTCAATGCAAACAATAAGAACAACACCAAGAATTTACGTGGTTCACTATCGATGTGATAGCTACGTCCACGGGCACCGAGATCGAATGATTTCACTATAAACTGCAAAGATTACAAAGATGATTCTTGTATTTCTCAAGAACGGCTTTCACTCTGTCTCTCTTAACCCTAATACTGATATTAGGGAGGTTTTATATTAATCCCTAATTAAAAGATACTTGGGCAAAAAGATAATAAAATAAGATAACCTAAAACCGCAAAATCCGCGTTCCGTATTTTTCCTTCTCCGCCCGGTCAGACCGGGCAAGGTCTGCCCGATCGGGCGCGAGAAGAAAACTCCATACGAATGCTTCAACGTATCCAACCCCCACCGCCCGGTCAGACCGGGCAAGGTCTGCCCGATCGGGCGAAGGCTCGCCCGGTCGGGCGAAGGCTCGCCCGGTCGGGCGCGAGAGCAGCTTCTTCAACGAATTTGCCAGGCACCTCTTCTTCTTCCGCCCGGTCAGACCGGGCAATGTCCGCCCGATCGGGCGGACAAAGCTACGAAGTACGAGTCACCTAATATACTTATCAACACATATAAAGTAGCCTCGAAACATATATGGCTTATTAGTTAATTTAGAGACTAAGGGGATAACAAAAGACAAATAATAAATGCATACATTAGATTTTGGAGGGCCTTATCTTCAAAATTTGGATATCAATATCTTTGCGCTATTTTCATTGATGTATAACTAATGTTACATCTTAAATTCCAAATTAAATTAATGTTACATCTGGTGTTTAATTTGCAGCCGTAAGATGGAAGGTGTAGTGAGCAAACTTGACAGAATCTCAGAGGAATTAGCAGAAGTACTGTCAAAATTCTCAGATAAGCGTTTTGAGAAGGTGATCGAAGAGAGGGAATCCATAATAAGCTTATATAGATACAATGACACGCACCCTAGCCTGCTCGTATCAAACGAGGACATCCACGAGTCGTATGATCATGCTTTGAGTCTGCATATGGCTATGGAACGCGGCGAATTCTATGTGCATACAGATAAAGGGCCTTTGTCCTTCAGCACTGACCCTGATACCATTGTTGTTACTGTTGGAGAACAACTAAAGGTACGTCTTTCTCTAATTTATAGCCTTCTTATACTCTTAATTTAGTAAATTAGTAGTCGTAATAATAAGGCTTTGTACGTGTTTAAGTTCCAATAAACATAGATGACTTCTTATACGTAGTATGTTCTAATAATTCAAGTACGTAAATTACTTCTTTTATACCTAAATAATGAGTTCGCAAGTTACTAATGCAATAGTCTATGGTATCACAGCGAACCCAATACACAATCAAATTGAAATAATGCAATTTAATTTATTTTACGAATTGAAGTATCACGTTTAGGATTTATAATTTGATAAGAACTTGCTTAAATATATTTGATGACAGGAATGGAGTGCTGGAGACTTCAACGCTGTTTTAGGGGAATTGATCTTTGATCCAAACTTGCATGGGACTGAAGCATCATACTCATTAGAGCTCAAATGTTCACCCTTAAATCTTAACTTGGGTCATACCAAAAAAGTAATTAAGACCATTTCCTTGCTTGATCAATTGTTGATCATACTATTCTTAAGCTTTTTTTACCAAGTAATTTTGTACACTTTGTCTATACCATCTTTAGGAACATACTTGTATTAGAAAGATATACTTACCATTTATTTGGAATTTTTTTTTTTTTTTTTTACTTTTGGAATTCGTTTTTAACTCCCTCTTGATCTTTAATTATGTATAGTTACTTAGTTAGATTTCATGTGTGTGCGTTTAGATTTAGTGTAAGTTAAAATCTTTGGAATGTTGATAATATGATGATTGTTGTTACTAGCTAGCTAGAGATTGAAAAAAAAAATTATTAAGCTTCTAACAACAAGTTTAGATCGTAGTAAATCAAAATTTGACGTGTGAAAATGAATTGAATCAAGCCAAGCTTTTGATTTTAAAAGGTGTTTTGCAATGAGCATAATTATAATTAATATTAAGTCACAATTTAAAGATCTTAAAAGGTAATTTCTTGTAATATACGACCTTTTTAGAGGGGCGATCTAATGATTTCTCGTAATCGAGCGGATGATTTTTATCTATTCATTTGAATGTATTTGGAAATTTGACAGTTGTTGCTATCCCGTAAGAATCTTTAGTTCTTTACCAACAAATCGATTCTGGGGCAAAAGATGATATTTTTTTTTATATTATAAACTCTTACCCACAATAATTGCCTTAGGGGAACAAACAACTACACATACAACCAATAACTACACGTACTACTTGGTAGATTTATTGAAAACATCAATGAATATTTAGACAAGGAAAAAGGTTTAAACAAAATAGCCTTATTTTGGAAGTATTAGATTGTTTCCGGCCTAAATTAGGGGTGAAAGTTCGGTTTGCGTTGTGGTTTATAACTCAAACTAAAACCAAAACATATTAATTCGGTTTGAGATTTTTCAAACCGCACCGCACCATATTATTATTAGGTCCAAACCAAACCACACCATATTTAATTCGGTTTTTTTTTTTTTTAAAAAAAAAAAAAAACCAAACCGCAATTTTTGGGCCTAGTGTTTTGGGCTTTGATTTGTAACATTTTTTGGGCATAATTTTTCAAAACCTATTTTTGGACTTGATTTAATTAGTCTTCCAAAAAAAAAAACAAATGATATCATTAGGCTATTAACAAATAACAAGTCCTAATGATGGCGTAAGCGGTTTTTTTCTTTTTTTTCTTTTTTTTTTGGCCTTATATATGAAGGGGATTGGACTCTAGGTAATTAGGAATCCTAAATTTCGGTTTTTGGTTTTTATAAACTCAAAACCGAAACCAAACCGCAAACCATATGTTTTAAGTTTTCAAAACCAAACCGCACCATATTAAAAAAGAAACCGAACCATATTATAGATGTTATTTAGATATAAAAAAATAAAAAAAAAAATAATAAAAAAAAAGGTTGAATGCTCTCTACAAAACAGTTATATGTTCATTACAAAAACAGTTGTATATTCTTTACAAAACAGGTTATGTTCTTTCCGTTTTTTTTTTTTTCGTCTGAACCCGCCTGTACCATAAAAGGGAATTTTGTCTAGAACTACCCGCAACATGACACAGGGTCATTTGTGAACAACTACCCATTTTTTTTATTTGTTTACAACTACCCGCAAGTTTGAAAAAGTTTGAGTAGCACTACCCATTAACGTTTTCCATCCAAAAAACCGTTGGTGGGCCCTACATTGTACACGTGCCAATTATTTATTGGATAAAAAAATTAAAAAAAAAAACTCAACCGCCGTGAAACCCTAGCCCTTACCCCCAGCCACCACCAAAAACCGGCCGGTCGCCCTCCTTAACCTCCGAAAACGGTCGGCCACCAACCCTTCACCCCAACCCGACACCCCTACCAGTCCCACGACCCTCCCTCCATCTCCTTCAACCCACGACCCACACTAGCCTCACTCGCCGCACCGCCCTCTCTCTCCTTTGACGAGCCACCCGGATTCGAAACACCCTCCCTCAAACCCAGACCCGAAACCGAATCCCTCCTTACCCGAAATCGAAACCACCACCTATAATCGAAATCGAGTCGGTGTTCAAAATGGTGTGCGATGGTGGGTTTTGGTGTTGTCAGAGGATAGAGAGGGAGGAGAGGCGATGGTTGGGGAGGGTTCATGGGTCCTGGGTTAGGGTCGCCTGCAGTGAAAAGGGGTGGCAGTGGCTGGTAGGTTTGGAGATGGTGGTGTGGGTGGCTGATTGGTGGTCGGGGGGTTCCGGCCGGCCGGTTTTTGGTGGTGGCTGGGGGTAGGGATTAGGGTTTCACAGTGGTTGGGGTGGCTGTGTTTTTATTTGTTTTTTTTTTAAATTTTTTTTTAAATTTTTTTATCCAATAAATAAATGACACGTGTACAATATGAGGTCCACTAACGGTTTTTTGGATGGAAAACGTTAATGGGTAGTGCTACCCAAACGTTTTCAAACTTGCGGGTAGTTGTAAACAAATAAAAAAAAATGGGTAGTTGTTCACAAATGATCCTATCTTACGGGTAGTTGTTTACAAAATTCTCCCATAAAAATTCAGGTACCTTGTTGCAATGTGCTAGTCAAGTTGGACACTTAAAATAAATAATTTTTTTTTAAAAAAAAGGGGAAAACTTGCCCTTTGTACTTTTGTAGCTTACGGAGTTACACTGTTACAGTATCACTTTTACGCTGCTCCCTCTTTCTCTCTTCTCCATTGAAGCGTACTCTGAAATCTCCATTGAAGAGCCTTCTGAGCTTTCCCTGATTCCCTCCTCCATTGAAGCGGCTTCTGAGGTACTTGTTTATTTTTTATTTCTTAACATTTATCATCGAATATCTACAATTTACTTTCACATTTTCTGTAATTTAATTGTCATTATAGTCAATTTAGGGTTCGGATTCTTGAAGTATTGGTTATAATGATGTAAATGATACATTTTGTTGCTGGAATTTTTCTATGTATTCTGAATCCTGAATTTAATGTGATTTTCCGAGCTTAATTCGTAATTTTGTCAAATTTGGTTGCTAATGTGTTGCATATTTCGAGCCAAATTGAGAGTTTAGAACCATTCTTAAGTAGTTGATGATTAATAAGGCCTTAATACCATTGAACCATTTCAACTATTCAGCTTAATTTAGCATGTTTACTAAAAAGAGTACTGTTTATTAAAAAAAAAAATTGTTTATGTGTGATTATTACTTGTTAATACTAGGAAATTGAACATGGTGGAACTATCATTTGGAGAAAAGAATTTCATAAGAGGCGGTATTGCTCAAAATCTTCGTTGTGATGGTCGCAAACGCTTATCTTACCGACCTATATTCGTTGATACTGGGGTCATTCCACAGGTCTTGCTCCTCCCTTCTATTCTTATTATCACAATTTGAGTGGAAATTTAGATGATTTTTGTTGTTAATTTTAGGCAAATGATTCAGCAAGAGTGCGGATTGGGGGAACCGATGTCATTGCTAGTGTCAAGGTAGATTATTTTGGATCCCTCTTTCGTAATGTAATGATTTAGGTTCTCATCTATAGTTAGTTTTGGTTGTAATGTGTGTGTTTGATTGAGTGCAGGCCGAATTAGGGAGACCCAATTCATCTCAACCCAATAAAGGAAAGATTTCAATACACATTGATTGTAGTGCTACAGCTGCACCTATATTTCAGGTTTTCTTTATATTTATATTGTTCTATCTATTTATTCATTGCCTATTAACTCACTTTGTCAGGATATAAATAAAGGATTAGGAATACGACTTTGAGATGTTCAGGGGAAACTAGTCATTTTCTTGTACTAGTGGCGGTATGTTATAATTCGTTTACCTTGCTTAATATTGATTGATGGAGAATGAACTAAGATTACACAAGTATTATGTAACAAAATCATGTTTAATCCTTGATTGTTAGGGACTTGGACAGGCTACGGATTAAGTGTTCATTCACTAGAGTTTATTTTTGAATTCTAATGACCTGTTAGATGTGGAAAGTAGTCTTTCATTCCAACCTCCTATGATTTTGTATAGATTGGGAACGTCGTAGCTCAAATGTGTTTTGTGGTTTTGTAATGTTGGTTGGCATCATTTGAATTGCTATTTTTTGGTCAAAAAATAAATAAAGAGTAAGAATAAAGGCTATAGATCCAAATAGCTTTTTGTAGTCAAATATTCATTAGCTCCTGACATTTATGTAATGTATTTATGTGCTTTCTTACTTAAGTTGTATTCTGTATGAACTCCATCTTTTGATAATTTTGTTGCCCTGTATACTAGGACAAAGTAAATATACATGTGGTTGTTTATTGTTATTGACCAGGTATTACTTTAAATGTCTCATGTCACAGGGCAAAGGGGGTGAAGCATAATCAACAGAACTTGCTGCTGATCTTCAGCGTTGCCTCTTGGGTGGTAAAAGTGGAGCAGGTAGGGACTTTTGTATAAACATGCATTAACTTAATATTCACGTGTTTTATCAAGGTGAAAGAGTTGTGGATAATGTATGATCCACTTTGTTTTAGGAGCTGGAATTGACCTTTCATCCCTATCTATTGTGGAAGGGAAGGTTTGTTGGGATCTTTATATTGATGGCCTTGTGGTTAGTTCAGATGGGAATATGCTGGATACCTTAGGTGCTGCAATCAAGGTATTACTTAATTTTTTTGTGCCGCTGCCAACCTTTTTCCTAACATGTTCATGAAATCAGCTTGGCTAGTTATTAAATTACCTGCCCTCTGAGATCTGTCAGTCAAAACTTTAAGAGCTTGTTTATTGTTTAAAATCAAATAATACAGGAAAGTTGAGGAAGTAGATCTTCCTCTCCACATTAAGGTGAAGAGAATTTACTCTTCTGTTCCCAATTCCCCATTCTGTAGTTGTCCTGTTACTCCTTTACAACTTTCAACTTTGTTTAGATATGCTGTACTTACATGAGGTGCTTAGCTCAAGCCAACCCTATTAATGGAGCTATATGTCCTTTGGGTTACCAGAAACTTAGCATCTTAACTTCTGTAAACAGAGGTGCAGGGTTTTGAAAATTAAGAATCATAATTTTGAATATAAGGAAGTGGAATTTGTTCAGAATGTTATTACAATTTCCGTGGACATTTGTGCTGCTGCTATATTTCAATATTTGTGACATTGATGCTGACATTCTTCTAGAAGCACTTGATTTTATACTTGATGGTATTGATGATGTTTGCTGATCCCACTTTCTTGTACTGGCCACTTTAAGTGATACCGGCATTCCAAAAGTTAATGTCATTGTTGCTGATTCGACATCTGCTGGTGATCAACCTGAAGTTGATGTTAGCGATGAAGAATTTTTACAGTTGACACTTCTGCAGTACCTGTGATTGTTACATTGACCAAGGTTCTGCACCATTCATCGTGACTTTCTTTTATAAAGCATAAATGGTTTTATTTGTCTTGCTTTATATT